ATGAGTGGTGGTGGAGGGTCAGGAGGGAAAGGAGGCATTTTGCAAACCTGTTGTAAGTGTTTACAAGTGGTTTCCTTGACTCCTCTGGGAAGGTTGTCTGAGCCAGCTGTCTTCCCTGTGAGGAAAGCAGGGCACAACTGGATCCAGAACAGCTAGAGCCAAGTTACTGGCAGAGCCAATTTCTCCCACAGTGCCTTGCCAGCCCTACTTTTTTTTTCTTTTTTTTTTTTTTCCCAATGTGCTGAGTTTGTTTGTTTTCTTTTAAAGTCCTAAAAATAGGCCTGTCACATCTTGAGGCCCCTGCATGCCATCAGAAATATAATTACAAGGCATGAGCTGAAAAATGTCAACTAAACCTTGACTGAGTCAACCCCAAAATCAGATGGAATAGACCACATGACTGGGTTCCTTAGCAAAAGCCAGTGTAAATGCAGAGGCTTTTTGTCTGGTCACTGGTGTCAACATGCTCGTGTGTGTAGGAAGCAATGCAAAGGTGTTGTGCTGAGCCTGGTATTTGACCCTTGTCTTCCTCCCCTTTCTGATCCCAGCAACCTTTGTCATTCAAATGGAGACTGAGGCCAAATGTGGCATCATCCACCTATACAGTGATGGAAAAGTGAGCTTTTTCTCACTACTCTCATTACTGCACTGCAACACTTTTGGAAAAGACAGGACCCTGCTTTTGGTCTCAAAAAATACCCCAAATGTCGTAAAAGAGGTGAAAACTGAGAAGACCATTACTACTACACTGGTAGATGTTTTTGGTAAGAAATGAGTTCAATCCAACACTGCATATTCATGGAAATAAAAGTCTGAATCATTACAGACCTCAGCTGGATTTGAACTAGCCATCAACACACTGAAGATGAATAGGATATTTATTCCAAGGAAAAAACAAAAAGACTTAATTAGATAATGAGGAAGATTGTTATCACTTGTTATAAACCTTTGGTCTCACCCCAAGCTATATTTGTGCAATGAGTAAGAGGAATTCCTAAAAACTACCTAAAAGTGTTCCATGGGGAGCATACTGGAAAGTCCCATCTCCTTGTCACATCCATACAGTGTGTAGTTTCCTGATTCAGACCTAGAAAAATGCAGGCAAATTTCCATTCTGGGAGCATCAGTGATCAGAGAGGGCACTTTGGGATGACACTGCTTGGAAAACCCAGCTGTGGACTCCAAAATGGTATCAGCATCTGACTTCTTCCTGAAGGTGCTGCGATGGCCAGCCTTGCTCCTGTGGCTCGTGATGGCCAGCCTTACTCCTCTGGCTCTCCTGCTCCTGCAGTTTCTGCTGACTTAGAGCTGGTCATAAAACAGGTCTGGGTATTTATTACAAACTTTGATTTGGGGCTGAGACAAACCAATGATAATATTTTTTTAAGGCAGGTGTTCAGCCATCCCCAGGAAAGCAGGTCTTCATCATGTGTAACGGTTACTTGGGAAGACAAACGCCATCACTCCAAACGCTGCCCTCCCCCTCGCCCTTCCTTCTTCTTCCCAAAGCCCCTTATATGCTGAGCATGACATCACATGGTATGGAATATCCCTTTGGTCAGTTGGGGTCAGCTGTCCCCGCTGTGTCACCTCCCAACTCCTTGGGCACCCCCCAGCCTACTCGCTGGTGGGGTGGTGTGAGAAGCAGAAAAGGCCTTGGCTCTGTGTAAGCACTGCTCAGCAGTAATGAAAACGTCTCTATATTATCAACACTGTTTTCAGCACAAATCTAAAACAGCCCCCCACTAGCTACTACGAAGAAAATTAACTCTCTCTCAGTTGAAACCAGGACACAGGCTTGATGAACCAAGATTTTACGATAATCTTGTATTTCTTTCTGAAACTGCTGAAAAACTCTATATGCTTTCCTCTTTCCTTCTGCCTTTTTTCAAAGTCTTTGTCATTCTACATTTCCTTTTTTCCTAGACCTAGTTGTTGAAGAAATCATCTCTCTACTTTTCTTCCCTTTCTTTTCAGCTAATTTCCTCACAACAAAGCACCACCCAGAAAAAGTAGGAAGAGAAGACAAGAGAAGACAAGTGCAGGTTGCACTTCTGCAAGGAATGGATAATATTAGTCTTAGCCCAGGGCACCTGGTTACCACAAGTGTACATCTAATAAAAGATGCTAGAAATACTGTAGTTCAGATATCCTATAAAACAGTGAATGTTAAGGTAGTTTTACTGTGTTTTGGTCAAGACAGAGATGTGCTGCTATTGATCTGCTCTTATTAATCTATTGCTGTTCGTCTACTCTGCCTTACAAGAAATCTGGGTGTAACTGTACTGTTGGCTGTTTGTGAGACATTGGAGTCTGGGACAGGTGAAATGTCCTACTCAGGGTAAGGAAATAACACCTTGATATTACCAGAGGTTGATAAAGAAGCACTGCTGATGTTTTTTTCCCCAAGAATTCCCAGCTGTATTCCTACAGTTGTTTAGATGGTGGCTTTAACCTGAAGACACAAATTCCTATGAAACAGACTGGAAGCTGAGTGTGGTGCTTTATTGGTACCACATATCTGCTTTGCAGTGTTGGCATGCAGTTAGAGCTGGATCATCACTTACCACCCAGGGCTTGCTGCAGAAGTTGTAGATGGAGTAGAGGGAGTTGACTGTGTGGATGCCACCGTACTGGAGGCCGATGATGAGGCCACGGAAGTCTTCTCCCAGCGCCATGCTGTAGGCATGCTGCCGGATCAGGACAAAGTCAGGCTTGAAGGACCTGGAAGAGACGAGGAGATTGATGTTTTGCTTTTAAACACTCAGCAACACTTCTAACCTCCCCCTGTTTCTTCTCTATCCTTCTCCTTTTCATTAATGCATATCGCTCTTCTTTGTGCCTGTCGTCATGGGTTGCTTGCGTTAGAAGGTAACAAACCAAACAAAAAAGTCTAGTCATTAAAAAAGGGAAAATCCAACATAGCTGGAAGTGTGAGAGTGTAGAAGCAGGCCAAAGAGATTTGCTGCAGTTTCCATGTCACTCAGGCATGCACAGGAACAAGCCATAAGTGGAGCCAAGGGTCATAAATTCACTGGTGGGGGGATTCTCTCTTCTTTCTAAAAGCTTGGCCATATTTGGCAAGCTCGTTGCAATGTGCAACACAGATGAGGGAGCAAGTTTGTTTCCTGACGATTGAACTCCATATTGAAGCAATGCCCAGCGGGTGGGAAGATCATGACGGATTTCAAAAAAGCTATCGTACACATCCACACGTTGACATACTTTCCCCCTTTAATCAGTATACTACATGCGCAGCACATCCCAGGCTCTTACGGCTATGAGTCAACAAGTAAAAGGCAGGCATGGTAATGTAATTAATCAAAAGAGCAGAGCCCCTCATCCAGTGCTTGTGACTCATGGTGTGGACTTCCAGAATATTATTTAGCAAGACTGGAGCTGGGACTCCTATGGTTCAACAGCAGCAGCAGCTCTCAGCAAATGCACAGAAAAGTGGGGCCCTTTCTAGGTAAGCCAACAGGCAACGGATTATCTTTCAAACAGCCAGATCTCATTCCTTGCTGACACTGTGTCTTTGGAGCCATTCAGAAATCTCTGGAAACAGCAGCTGGAAAGAAACTGCTCCCAAAATGGAGCTCAGCAGTTCATTCTTGAAGCCATGGAAGGGGCTTTTCCACTGAAACAGGGGATTATTCTATACTTTAACAGAGGTTGCATCAAGGACATTGGAGAAATTTCCATGCTGTATTAAAGATTTTCAGAGAAATGAGCTCTGTAACCAGGTCCCATTACCTCACTACCCTCGAACATTTTCCTTGCTAAGAGACTATAATTTCTATCCTTTGCATGTATGAGCTGGAAATACTTTGGGTTTATAGCCCCTATTTATATTTCCATCATTCTGGCAGGGAAATCCGAGATGGTGACTCTGGGCCAGATTGCGGCAACAAACACTGTATACAAAACCCAGTGCAGCTTTGTTGTTTGAAAGCTGCTCATTTTGTTTGTTGGCCTTGGGCTTTTGTTATCGCCTGAGACATGGTGAGGAGCATGCTCTGCTTTTGTGATGCAAGAGGCCAAGCTTTGGAAATGTTGTGATTCCCTCCCATGGAGTATTTTTAAACCCAGGCATGTTCCCTAATGTACTTGGCACTAGAGGTGGTGCTTTCCTCCAGCAGTGAGATGCATAATGAGCATTGGGAGGGCTGCGCTATCACTGTGCAGCTGATTTATGGACCTCCCTGGTGTCAATGGGGGTGAGGCAAGCGGTGACCCCCTGTTGCGAAACAGCAAGTGAATACAAATCTGAGGAAACTTCAGCTGCTCCATTCTGCTGCACTTGCCGTGTAGAAAGTACCCCAGAGGGACAGGTCCTCAGGAAGGACTAATCAGCTTCCTAGGACCAGGACTCAATGTCTGTGCTGAGTTACTAAACAGTTGTGGTGCCTGGAGGGGCAGGAGCTTCAGGTGTATCCCTCTTTCATTCGGCTTTCCAAGCACATGAAGAAGAAAATGGTCCCTGTTACAGCTCAAGTCTTTCCCCAGGCTTCACTTAGGGAGCAGCACTTACTGGAGCTGCACGGTAGCGGTGCAGATCATTGCTCCAGTCTCCCCAGAGGAAGTGGCAGTATTTGCCCTTGAACATCTGCCCCAGCACCCCGGGGTGGGGACACGGTGCTGCGGCGGGCGGAAAGCATGCAAATGAGTGTGGCCAGCCCAGGGAGGGAGGACACACAGCTGCTGGGAAACTGCCTTCAGTGGCTTTACTTCTGCCAGCCAAGTTTAGGAAAAAAGCTCGTGTCTTTTCAGATCCTGGCAAAGGAAGAGTTTTTTCAACTTAGAAGATGGACATAGGAATACAGCCTATTCTCAGACTCCACATTGTGTGGGAAGGCAGGGCGCTCTCTCATGCAGCAGATGAGGAGTGAATCTCTAAAGCGAAGGTGGACACTGAATCCCTGTTTTGAGCTGCGGGACAATGAGGATGTTCCCATGGATACTGAGAACAAGGCAGAGGAGTGCAGGGCCTGGGACTAGCTGCGAATAAACATCAACTGGAGAGCCCCGGAGTCTGCGAGGCATCTGTAATGGAGAAACAGAGACCAGTGGCAAAATGTGAGGTGATGGGCTAGGAAGGACAGCAGGCAGTAAAAGGGAAATGAATAGTCATGGTAGGAGTGATGGCGTGAAAACTGAGTATCTGGGGGTACCAGTGATCTGGGGAGAAGGGAGCTTAATTGCTTCACGTGAGGATTCTTGTTTTTTTGATAGAAGATTACTTTTGCAAGCTATCACTCATTCTCAGAGTGTAAAGCTTAAGCTAACAGAGCAAGCCTTGGATTTGGAATAGCTAGTAGCATAACTGTTTTCTTTGCTAGCTCAACCCAACCCAATAACATCTCCCATGACGGAAAGCTGAAGCCCTTGGCAGACAGACAGGTTAAGCACAAGCCCCACATTTGAAACACCATTGCCAAAACCTTTGGGTGAGCCAAACTCAGTAGCACCTACTGTGTTGAGGTCCTAAGCACCGGAGTCCGGCAGGAGTAGGAGAGCTATGGCAGGAGCATGTACTTTTCCTCTCCACTAGATCTGTCCAGCCAGAGTTTAGATGACCACGACAGGTCTTGAATAAAACTGTAGCTAGACCCCTGCTAGAGACAGGTCAGGGGAATGGGTTTGGTCACAGAAAGAATACAGGAGAGCCCATTTAAACATCTAATGGACAGGGAGATGGGATAGGTAAATGGAACTAAAAGTAAAGTACAGATTTAAAACAGACACTAACAAGCTGTGCACTGCATGTTGGTGTGGTGACCTTTCTGTGCTGCATGGCAGACACCGGCCTGAAGTTGTGAATCTTCCTTAGCATGACAGCCAGATGGATGAAACTTCCGGGAGAAAGCTGGAGCCCATCTTTGGCCACAACCATTTTACAGAAGCCCTTTCTCTGACCCTAAGAGCTCAGTTCTCATTTAGAGTTTGGCTCCTAGCACTGCCTGGCAAAATAAAGGCCACTAAATTGCATGTAACATATTCCCAGAGTGGCATAGAAATACAAGAATCCTTTGTTTAAAAAAAAAAATAAATCCAGGAGACTGGAAAATTTTCATTTTCAGATTGAATTAGCTGGTGAGATTTCATTTTCCTCTGGAATGGAAAGATGCTTTACTTTCAGCTCGTGTCACCACAGGCAATGGCCTCTGCCACACACGACACAAGCCTTTCAGTGTTCTTAGTGGTGCACGACTGAACCGGCCACCCCCAGAGGGAAGCAGCCCCCCACAGGTCCCTATGGCTTTTCTCACTTTGCACTAGTTGCCTCCTTGTACCAGATGCTAGCCAAGGCACATGGCAGCTGCTCAGCCTACCTCTCCTCCAGCAATTGAGATCAACCAGCGATTACCAGAGTTAATCACCCCCGGGTGATGATGAGTGTCTGGCTAGGAAGCTGCTAGTGCTGCCAGTCCTGAGCCTGAACTCTGATACTGCGGTGCAGGATGCTTATTTGCATTTAACTAATTCTTTTCCAACTTGTTCCAATGCATTTTAGGAGTGTCTTTCTTTCTTAGTGGTAAAATTATACTTTAGAGACAAACCTAAGTATAAAGCCTGGATCCAAAATACCTGATAGGAAGAGATCTGTCTGCAGAATATAATTTCTTAGGTTGGACCCATCTACCCTTACATCTGTGACAGCATTAGCTGTCTTGGAAATACTTTTGTCTGAAGTGAGGGAACATAAAACAATTTAAGAGATTTCTGATGTTAGTTAAACATCTCAGGAGCAGCAGCAGCTACTGAAGATGCACATCCTCACTTCAGGTTCTGTCTACCCTCCATTATTCAAGGAGGCTTTATTCAGTTTTCTGACACTTCCCAGTGATCAACACATTTTGACTAAAAGTTCTCTTCCAAAGCCTTTCCTATCTGCTTGGCATGACATGGAGAGGAAGAGAAGTGCATAATTAAGCAATATGATACAACAAGCTTTGCGTTACTGGCAATTAATGGAGCCTTCAGGCAAGTTACTGAGGCACAGGTCCAAGCCATAAGTGACTGCATTTACCTGAGAAGTGCAATAATCCCTCCAACTATGCAGTGCCTCAGGTGTCTGACAGCTAATAGAAAATGTCATTTACAAATTGGAAAAAGTTCTTTTCGTGCCTTACATGGGTGTTAGTAGTATTGTTATTACATTACTGAAAAGTAGTATGAAATCTATGACATTTTCACCTATCACGATGTTAGATTTAATGTTATGTTGGATGTCATAGTAAAATGGGAAATGTGTTAAGAAAAAATCTTATTTCAGTCAAAACCTCGTGTCATGTTTTCCACAGAAAGAAGTAAACCCTGCTGAAGTTATTCAAATGAAGAATGAATGTGATTACTTATATGAATAAGGTAACACACAGCTGGTTTTAGAGAAACAAGAAAACAACATAGAATAAAGAATGACCTCTTTGCTAGGCTGGAGGAGAGGAGCAGGGGGTCTTTTGGGACACTGTAATATGACAGTGGCTGGGGAAAAACCATGGGGTATGGGAGACTTCAGTGTAGCAAAAGCAGCGTGAACCAGGAATCATGGTTGCGGTAGGACCTGCACCACTGTATGCAGATGAGGACACCCTGGAAGATGCTCTGATTTGCTTCTCAGCCATGAACAAATGGTCAACGAGCCATAAAATCCCATGTCGCACACTCTCGGAACTGTACTGTGGCAGTCTTCCAAGCTGTGTGGTGCACGCTGGAGGGAAGGG